TACAGGCAGTGCAGGAACTGCAAGTTGCAGATGAAGCTCTTCAAGACTTGAGGGCTTTTTCCTTCCCCAGGTCGACCCCTCAACTGCAGTGGCGAGCGGACATGGGGCTACAGGGCAGTTTGGGAAGTCGACGGCGCGGTGGGCCGGGGCGTGTGCTGGGCAAGGAGTGGCTGGCGCTGGTGGCCGCATCACCCCGGATTCCTGCAGCTCCGGACCTGGGGGAAGACGCATAGTACCTCGGAGATGCTTTTGGAGGCATGACACAGACGTGTAAAGGACATAAAGGCACAGTGACTTAGGGGCTACGTGCCCGACATGGGAGCATCCACTTCATCCTGGCCCTGCCCTCCTAAAATGCCAATTCTAAAACTCACAATTAAGACTAGCCTCTTTAGGAAAGGAAAATGGGGTTCAGGCAGCAATTCAGAGAGTATTTTTTTCTCTTTTAGAGACGCTTTTTAAAAGTATCCTTTTATTGCATAAAGAAACTTTAATACATGTTTTCCTGACTCACCACTTCTTCCTATCCATTTTGACTTGTTTTTCTTGCTTTCTCAGTCTCTTCCTGACACACACCATGCATGTGTACTTAGAACAGAGTCACAAAAACACCTTTAATCTTTAATTAAAATAATACCTACTTGAAAGATGTGGCCCAGCCACCACAGGACCTATTTTTCCCTTCCAGGCAGCCGAAGAATGACAAACCCTGATTTAAAAAATAGTAATAAAAGTTAGATCACATATGTCGAAACTATCTTGTTTATAAAGTGTTACAGCACTTTTAGGGTGCAATAATAGAAGCACAAGTATTTGAGGGAAACAATTTAACCAGGTCAGATTTTCAGGATTCACCCATATGCAGGCTCCCAGAATAAGTAATTTACTTTTTACACCTTTATTAACTTGGATTGTGGAATTAACAAGAACCAGGTTTAGTAAATCTGACTTTTAAATGCCTGACGTATTTTTTTAAAATTTTTTAATTTAAATTTCTTTGTTTTGTAGGTACAGGAACCCGAGCTCCTCAAAATTGATATTTAGCCAGGTTTAGGATGTGTAGGTTACAACCAAGATATTTCGAAACTGAAGAATCTGTAGATGACCATCAGTTTGAGTATCTATCTAAATTAGCTCAGAATCACACCAATTTCTTAAAGAACCGCCCGCATGTCTGAATACTTTGTACAAAGTGTATAGATGGTCTGAACAACTGCTTAACTTCCTCATAGTTTGTGTAAATACAAATTTCAGACAAGTCACCATGTTACTTTCATTTTCAATCCTGCAAATGTGTGATTAGACTACACTTATGTAAGGATTTTTGATTCTGACATATACTTATCCTAGGAAATATAAATACTTGAACTAATGCCTTAAAGACTCTCAATACCCTATTTATATGAAAATGTGATTTTTCTAACCTTTCAGTTCTAAAGCTTTGTCCACCTAACAGAGCTTAGTGGGAAACAGTGACTATATATTCGGACTCACAAAAATATCTTGAGTTGTGGGACTTAATCACCCAGATATTTGTCAATTCACGTTATATTTGTGTATAAACGATAGAATACTAAATCAAACATTTCCAGCACATTACAGTTCAACTCAATCAATCGCTATGGAAGTTTTCTTTATTGATTGCTTGTGTGTAACAATAATGGCATTTTTCACACATTACAAAAAATTATACTTGGCTCAGTATGCAATCTTTTAAGCATAGCCATATTATTTGACAGGAGAGAGAGAGAGGGAAAAAAACAAACAAACTATTCTACCCAATATAGCATTTACAAATGCACAAAACATGCCACTTTGGCTTGTATATTGTCTAGATTTTAAAAAAAAAAAAAAATCTCTTTTTAACATAAATAAGTTAGTATAATTTTTCAGTGTCTTTACAGAGTTATGTACACAGGTACACTTCAAATGGTTTTGTTTTATATACATACACAGGCAATGTAGAAATACTGTTTAAAGATGTAATATCCATTCCACTTAGTCCACCAGTGTGTTTTCTCTACACACTTTCCTGTCAAAACACGACTTTCCTTTGGGCAAATTAACAGAGAAAAGATACTTAAAATTAAAAATTATTTCATTTTTTATGTGAAATTGTTTACGCATCTATAAAAATATCTAGGGATTTAGGATTATTTTTTACTATTCACATAGCATAAAGTGAAAAAGAAATCAAGAAAAATTTTTAACAAATTTTTTAAAATGTAGATGACCAATTCTGATCATTCAGAACATTTGCCCTATATCCCAGATTTTTGTCCAAAAGTACCTGGAGTAATTACCTACCTGCCAAATAATTAAGTGGTAAATTCCAATTTCAGAGGGGGTCTGGGGGCGACTGAGAGGGGCAGTTGTTATTGCTATTGTTTTTGAAAAAGCTGTTTACCACTAGATAATGAAATCATCAGAACTCCCAAATGAAAATAAACTTCATGTAAAAATAAATAGCAGTTATTTGTAGCCGGTGTTCAAATTTTGATGATTTTTTAAAATGAAGTTACCAGTTCTCACTGAAAGAGATATTACATCTTTAAAGAAAATAATTCCAAATCTTCCCCAAAATTGCTTCTCTTCATGCAAGTCAAATATATATATTTTTTTTACTTCTTGCTATAAAGTGAAGCAAACTCTTCATAACCCCCCATGCCAATTCTTTACACCCCCCCACCCTGCCTTCCCACCCTCAAAGTTTATGTGCTACATAAAAGGTAAAAACTATATACACAGGTAGTACAATGAAGCAAATAAGGAAAAACCTAATTGCACAATGCTACATCCAATGCTTTTAGAGGCAGATCATTTAAGAGTGCCTAAAATTTTAGTGTTATTGTGTTGTTGCTCTTCAGTGCTTATACAGGATGTCCATCCCATGGAGTCTACGATATGTATTTAAAATCTTTCATTTCTATCTTCCTTGCTTCATCAAGCAGTGATGTACCTGATAAACAAGGAAACACATCCTTAAGTTCTGCAGGGAAAAGGAAAATAAACACACACACACAAGAAGAAAGAATTAGCAAGGAAACACTAAAATAACACTCTGAATAAAGCATAGGAATTATTGTGTCACTATTTTAGTTAGAAATTCCTGAGAGATGGGGAAAAAAGAATGTACTACAAGTTGATGATTATAGTAATCTACATCCAACATTCCCTTGAATAGATTTCTAGCCTCCTCTTGTGTTGTGTACTTTTGTCTAGAGCAGTGGTTCTTAACAGTGGGCAATTTTGCCCCCAGGGGACATTTGGCAATGTCTAGACACAATTTTGGTTGTCACAACTGGGGGGATGGGGAGGGGATGCTACTGGCATCTAGTGGGTTGAGGCCAGGGATGTTGCCAAACATTCAACAATGCACCGGACAGCCCCCACAACAAAGAATTATCCATCCTAAAATGTCAACAGTGCAGAGGTTGAGACACTCTAGTCTGGAGAATCTGGGTCAAAGATAATGTGAAAGAACATAGATAGGAAAATTAAACTGTAACACTTAAAAGAGTAACAAAAATTTCTAAATTTGAAAAAATTGGAAATATAGTTTATAAAGGCCTTTCAGAGGAAATTTCTATTTTTATCTTTTCTAAAAATTGAGGACAAGATACTTTAATTTCTTATTCATAGGTAGTATATACACATGAATGCTTTTGAGTAGGTCTTTATTATATTCCTAGTATTCTTTAGACTGATATTTACTAACAAATGCATGTCAAAATGTGGCCAGATCAAAATCCACTAGTTCTGATTCACTATAGACCCAACTCACAGACCAAGGAGAACTGGAAGCATTAAGGTTGCTTCAGGAAAAATGTTCATTCAATTTTCCAATTTCCTATAGAGATTTTATAGTGCTATTTTGTGTACACCCTAAGAAATATACATGGATGAGTCATATAAATAACATTCTAATAACTTAAAAACACAACAAATCTGAACCCCAATTTAATCCCTATATTCTTTAATTAAAAAATATGCTAGACTATGGGTATGTTTGTTGGGAGCAAAAAGAAAGAGGTCATAGTCCTTGATTTTAAGAAGGTTTAAGCTGCTTGAATATATATGGTTTGATCATTATGGATAGCCAATTCACATTCACTTGAGGGACAAATTATTCAAATGAGCTATTCTCGTTAAATTAATCGTATATAAAAAAAATCTCCACTTCTCTTGTGCTTAGTAGACTTACCCTAGGCCAGCCCTAATCAGTACTGTCCATTTCCCCTACAAATACATTAATCATCCCAGTAGAGCATGATTACCATACACATGCTGACGTGTTCCTGGATTGCTTACTCTGGCAGAGTTAATTTAACTTCTGCTTTGCAACTTTGGTGTTATCAGAAATTCTATAGGAACTTTATTTAGTGTTTTTGAGCATTCATTTGGATTTTTTTTTTTTTTAAATATTCAGGGTTCTTCTCTTCCCCAAATTTGTCAGAAACATGAAAGTGATGGCCTACGAATATGACAAAGATAAAAGAATGCAAAATGCCACCATATTCACATTTCTGATCCCTTAATTCACCAAACGTGAGCTAGCTGAACCTACCTTTCCCTTCAAATTTGAAGTTTAATCATTGGCCATTTTCTATGTATGGCCTCAAAATTAGTTACTTACTCGAACCTCTTGAAAATGAGTCCTCATGAAGTAGGACTGAAGTTTACCCAGTTCGCGGTCAGAAGGGGAAAGAACCTATTGTTCCCAGCTTATTTTGGTGGTGCTCCCAAGGAAATGACCGCCCTACTGAGGGGGTCTGGGCTACGTGTACCTGCCTAGCACAGTGTAGCGTATTCAGGGAAAATGATCTCAGAATGTACAAATTTTGAAGAATTACAGTATCCCCATTTCTACTTTTTTTTTTTTTACTTCAAAAAATATCAAAACAAACATCCACAAGACCTCCTAATCTGCCAGCAACCAGTAAGATCTGATATCTTGGGGTGTCATTTGTTTGCCCTAAGTAATCAACCCACCAAGCGGTTTACGTTTGACGTTTTCTGAGGCCGGGCTTCTTAGGTGTCTGCTCCACTGAACCGGCATTCGGGGAACCTTCTGAAACATTTTCTTCTGTTCTGTTGGCTCTTTTGTTTTGAGTAGAGGAATCTATGGACAAGGGGAAATTCAAAAAAACAAAACATACAATCTTCATTAGAAAAAAACAATGGCTCTGAGAAGTTGGGCCCACAGTCAAGTTATGAACAACCCACCACCTCCACCCACAATCCTGTATCCATCACCACCAGTGCCCTTTAAGTGCACAAAATCAGATTGTTTTCGTATAACAGAAAGTGTTCTCTACGCCCAAATCTCTCTCTCCACAGCGTAGAGGGAGGCCTTTGATAAACATCTCAACGATGTCACATAACTACAGCGGGTAGCCAGGAGGAACTTCAATGTTTTAAATTGGGAAAAATACCAGATTTTACCAACTGCAGCTTCTGGTTTAAAAATCCGTAACAGCCAAGCATACAGCAGGTAGCATTTAAAACCTCAGTCTAGTAAAGTTCGCTCCCCAAAGGTAAATCAGAATATGCTGAAAAGAAAGACCCTGAAGCCAGCTAAGCGGTGCCCCAAAAGGCGTGTATGTGTTTGGAAAGGTCATTACCGTCGGCTGCAGGTCGCTTCCTTATCCCAGTGCACTGCTCCGCTAACCCCGACGGGTTGTCTGATGCATCAGTCTTTTGGTCTACCAAATGTGAGTCCTCTGAGTTTGCCTGAGCCCCCATTAAAGGCAGTGCCGGGTGGTTCCCGCTAGCATCCTGGCTCTCCTGTGGGGGAACTTTGCAGGAGCCTTTGGGTGGCCGAGGGGGTCTGTAGTAAAACTCGGGCAAGCTGCCTTTTTCCATCTCTTGCCACTCGTATTTTCCCTCCAAGGGCTTGTGATTCTGAAAATCAAAATTCCACTTGCGCTGGCTGGCTTCTTCCATGTCTCTGCAGTGCTTCTCCAAGTCCCTAGTTAACTCTTCGTGATTCACAGGGCCGAAGAGGTTTCTGCAGGCGGAAGGTTTAGGGTACTCCGCCTGTCTGGCGTCCATCCGCTCCAGGCTCGGGCTCCCGTTAGACACTCGCACGTTTGACATCTTACCGAGCCTTTACTACCGCCTCTCAAGCTCTCTCAAAAAACAAAACCGAACAAAACAAAACGCCCCGACCCAACCCAACCCGATCCCTTTTTTATAAGCTCTGTGACTGCCTTCAGAGCCAAGAGCAACAAACACCAACAAGTAACTGCCCGAGCTTCAGGAGCGCGCTGAATCTGGAGGGGAGGGAGTAAAGGGGAAGCCCCGGAGAGGCAGCCGAAAGTCTCTGCAGATCAAGTGTACCGGCGAGCAGGAGGGCGGGGAGGGAAGGGAGGAGGAAGGAGAAGGGGGTGGAAAAGCCAGTCCAAGTCCAGGTTGGTGCTAGCCCGCGGGTCCCGCGAACCGAGTGGCTTTCCAAACCTTGTCGGTGTCACAGTCGCGGAGAGGAGAGAAAGTAGAGAGAGGGGAGGGGGAGAAAAACACCTCGAAAAGGCGAGCCCCCTTTTTTTGGTTGCCCAATATGGCGGTGGAAGGGAGGCTGACGAAGAAGAAAATGATTGACACCGCAAGTCTATTTAAACAGAGGAGGAGATCTATTGGTTGCAGCGCCGGGAGCCGCCCAGCCCAGGCTGGCTAGCTCGGCCTTAAGGTGGCCCGGCGCGGTTCGGACGCCTCTACGCCTTCCCAAGCGCGCCGACTCTGAGCGCAACAAGGAGATTGGCTGGTCGCGTGATTGTTGGAGGTGTACTGCTGCCAACAGACCTGCTCTGGCTGGCCTCTGAGAAATTAAAAATAAGACAAACAAACTAGCCAAACGGCCGGGAAGCTGGGGAGGGGCCTCTACGGCGGGCCAGGCGGGGCCTTGGGTCCTGGTCCCGGCTCTGCGCCGACTGGGGCGCTTGCTCGTAGCCCCGATCTCTAGGTCCTGGTCTCTGAAACCTAGGGGTTGGACCAGATGATCTGTAAAGTTTCTTGCATCTCAATGTTTTAAGCACTCGCCGCGCCGAGGCCACTGGGGAGTGGAGGGCGGAGGCAGATGGGAGCTTCTGCTGGGCCCTCTCAGCAGTGACCCCAACCTCGAGCTTTACAAAGGAGGCCTGGAACACTTTGCTGAGGGCCTGGGACCCCTTTCCTCTCAACCTGAGTACCACAGAGGGGTGGCAACAACAGTCAGCTGCGCTGTATCTCAGAAGTTTCAGCTACCCTAGGGGAGACAGGGTGGGGCTTAGGAAGAAGCTAAGTAACGTCTTTCAATAAAGTAGTCGGGGAGGAGGCGCATCCTTTATAATGTGTTTTGAACCCAGGCTCTCCCACAGTAAAAAATGAAAGCATATCAAGATCAGAAAGCACAGTTGTGCTCCCAAGTCCCTTAAACTTTGTAGCCATTTCAGATACATTTAGTTTTGAAAAGCGAGGTTACACCCTTGGCCCAGGTTCTTGCCTCCCAAGTACAGTTAGTCCGCTGACATTGGCTACGTGTGGGGACTCGCCTCCTTCTCTTGATACTTTTCAATTCTTTCATGAGTTGTAGTAGTTTCCTCTGAGTCTAGTCGCCAAATACAACAGCTCCTTCCTTCCTCCACCTTTCTCTCCCACAGGGTTCACTGCTCCAACCCACCCAGAAAAACGTTCAGAAGCAAGTGACTGCAAACTGCTGAAAGGTGGAAATAGTCCCCTAAGGATCAAAATCTAGGTTGTTTTCTAGGTTGTTGTTAAGTGCCCTCGAGTTGGTTCTGACTCATACCAATCTTTTATAAGGTTTTCGAGGTTATACATCTCTGTGAGAGCAGAAAGCCTCATCTTTCTCCCTTGTGGTTGGAGTCCAATGTTATCTAAAGTCTAGGTTATGAAGTGATTTATAAAACCACCACAACCATGTCCTCATGCCTGACATGATTAGGGCATTTCTTGTCTCCCCTTTGCAACTTGAAGTGTAACACTCCATTTGGTCTTGAGCGTGGTGGTAGAAGTTAAAACAGGGTGGAAGGGCTGTCATATCTGAGACATACCTTCCCACTCCCACGGATCTTCTTTGGAACAAAGCTAATGAATTCTAATACTACACAACAACAGTTTTCTTATGCACTATACTATATAGATTCGTTTGATTTTTAACTTGGTAATACTAGAGCTGGGAGGGACCTTGGGGACCCTGTACTTTAACCTTCTCTTTTTACCACTGAGGAAATTGAAGCTCCTAGAAGTTTCCTGTCCAGGAACACACATTCAGTTGGTAGTAAAGCCAGGACTAGACACAGGTCTACTATCTCTCAATCTAGTTCATTTTCTGTTCTTTTCCTTCCTGATGGTACAAACTGATTAAAGTTTTTGTCTGGATACTCTTATGCTGTAGTCTGCAGGACCTCCTTTTCTACTTAGGATTCAAAAATGGTTTGTTCTCAGGCCCTAGAGTATCTGCAGATGTTTCCTTGATGTGGTCCGTGGTCACTGATATTTAAATGTTGTCATCACTAGCCTTTAGTGTCACTATCAAGTAGTTTTACTAAAATTCAGATTCCAAACAGACAGGGGTGATATCCAGAAGAGAGAGGCAGTGTCCAGAGAGAATCCAGTTCAGGGTTTACTACCTGATAACAGAAAAGCGTTCACCTGGGATCAAAGCAGATCTCGTCCTCTTTAATTTTCTACATTTAATGCCCCCATGTAATTTATAGGATAGGAAGGGGGCCGAAAAGTTAGATCTCATTACCTTTATGTATACCCTAGTCCTTAAATTAGGTAATGCTTACCCAAATTTTTAAATAGTTGTAGACAACAGAGGAATTCCATATTATGTATGCATATACGAAGGTAAGTCAAAAAGTATTGCTACAAAATCATAAAACCCTTTATTAAACAAAAATATCAAAATGTGGAGCTATTGTTTCTCAACATATCCTCCATCTATATTTATACACTTTTGAAGACTGTATTTCTATTTTTCTAACCCTTCCCCAAATAATATTATGCTCTTTGACATACACTGCATCTAAATAGAAGTTTGGGCATCCTCGAGGTACTCAAATTGTGTTCCTTTTCAATGTTCTCTGAGTTAGGGGGACAAAAAGAAGTCTGAAGAGTCAAGATTAGAACTGAAGAGTGGCTGGGATAAGGTTTCTCAATGAAATTCTTGCACAACAGTCCTTGGTACCTTCCAAAAATGAGTAGGTGCATAACTGACATGATACAAAAACAAAATTCCTTAGCAAAACTTTCCTGGCCTTTTTCTCACCAATGCAGTTTTCAGTTTTCTTAAAACTTCGTCTTAATAAGCCCAGCAACCATCATGTGTCATTTGAGAAAAATCTATCAAGATTATCTCTTTGTTACCCCCAAAGAACAGTCACTACAACATTCTGAACTGACCTCTCTACCTTGCATTTAAGAACTCCTCAGATGCCACTGTTTTGAATAAACCTTTTTTTCTGAAAGTATCCTAAAGAGACTAAGACAAGTGCATTACTGAAAATACTTGTCTGCAGCCATCCACTAATCACAGAGACATGTTTAAACACTTTTAACTGGAATAAACCTGTGCATGTATTAATTGAAACTTTAGCAGCCGTGCTTTTTGACTTGTCCTCATATGTGAAAAATACAGTAACCACTACATATGTGGAGTCCTGGTGTGGCACTGTGGGTTAATGCGCTGGATTGCAAAGTCAGTTTGAACTGCAAGGTTGGTGGTTCAAGCTCACCAGTTACTCCTCAGAAACCCTATACAGGGTCGCTATGAGTCGGACCAACTCGATGGCATTCGAGTCAATAACAATAACAACTATTTACATAAATAAGGGGGAATTCTAGAGTATTCGCTTGCCACCAAAATTTGGCTTTATATATCTAATAGTAAAAAATGAGTACTTTTTAACCCCAACACACACTGAATCTTCAGTTATTATGTATGAACATCATTTTGTTGCTTTGTTAACCATCAGAAATAAATAAACCACAGTCAAGCCACCTTAAGAAGTCTGGCTGTCAGCAGAAAGTCTGTGCTTACATTACCTTGCTATGATCTAAAGTGTTTTGTTTACAGTGTCGGTACCAGAGATCTGTACGGCAAATAATGAGAAGGCAGGCAGGCGTCTGCTGTAGTATCAGGAAGCATAAAAAAAAAAAATATTATGGAGTCCCCAAGGGAAGAGAATATGTGGCGATCAGAGCGCCATCATCCTGCAGAGAGGAGATGGCTGCAAAGAGAAACCAGGGAGAGAATTTTCACATAAACAGTGTAAAGGTGGAGCCTGAATAGAAGACAGAGTTCCACTCGCACTGTTCTAAAAATAAGCTCTGCTTCCCCAAGACCCAGAATCTAGTCTTATGTGGTGTTTCTATTGTTGTTTTCACTTCTGGTGGTTGAGTAGTTAGACTGAGAAGTGTCACATAGTCTACCCCAGATGTCTGTGTCTTTCACATGCTGAGGAGGAAAGTAAAGATCAAAATAACTTTGAAAAATAACAACAAAACATCTGTGTAGTAGAGAAGTGTCTACATGAGGTGGTGGGGCAAGCAGCCTATGTTAGTCCTGCTGCCAGAGAAAGTCCTCTTCTGGGAAAATTACCTAGTCCCAAATGCTTCTCCGATGGTGCCTGTTTCCTTACCCAGTTGCCCCTTCTTCCACAAATACACAATTTTAATCCTCCCTCAAGGATGTTTATAATGTGTCAGCTTTCACTCTACTTCACCATTCCCCTAACCTGACATATTTTTAAAGAATTTAGAAATCCCACAGTCAGCTATTTTTCACATTTTTAAAATTCAACTTAACAAGTATTTACAGAACACCTTCTGTTAATTTATTGATTTCAACAAATATTTTGATAAGTGTTTACTTGTGATGGTTAATGTTATGTAATAACAGAGCTGATATTGCTGAATTGCAAACCCACAGATTTAACGAAAGAGCGGCTGAATTACAGCACCAGTTAAATATCCAACCTTGAAAGGTACCTGGAATTAAAGAGAATTGATTAAGAAAAAATGGGATCCTGTAACTTGTGATTGGAACATACGGGCAGATAATCAGGAAGCTGGGGATACTGTGCCTCTCAATTCTG